ATATTAAGGCAATAATGCAGAGGGGGGTTGGGGATTGTGAACTCAAGTCTTTGCTAAAGTTCATGGCAAACGAAACTCCTTCCACAAAGAAAAATATGAGGACCTGTTTTCAAAAATTCTCCAAGAGCAAGAAATAAAGGAGGGGGCAGATAAAAAGCTCTCTTAATTATAACAAATAAATAAATAAATAAGCAGTGCCAATCAGCAGGCGATCAAACCATAGTCAAACTTCAATCTCAGAGCAGTTAGCTATAAACTGCTAGCAGTTGAAAAGTAAACCTTGTGCACACAAAGGCACTGTTTAATTTTCTTCTTGTAATCGTTCTAAATGAAGACCCCATCATGATGCAGTTAAGCGGTATTTCTTGTCCCCCTGAGGCGCACTGATCAGTTCTTTTTAATGTGAGAAAACTGGCAGCTCAAAACCCGTCAATGGAGCTCCCACAACAAAAGTTCTGAAAAGCTGAATGAATTGGGTTTGTAATTACTGCTTCCCACCCCCCCTTCACAGCTTATCTCTTATTCATTCAATGTATATTATTGTCAAGGAATCTTACCCTCAAAATCATTCCCTTACCATTTTACCTAGGGCCACAGAGGAACTTATGACACGGCAGAAATGGAACATTCGCTCCCCCACTGCACCTAGTAGTGTTCAGACCAATAGATGGGGAGGGAGGGAGGGACTACAATGTACCCCAATTTACTCTGAGACTGCTAGAACTAAGAGTACTCAGCCTATGGAGCCATCCACTTTAAAGCCTGAATATTATTAGCAAACAGGAATGTGTATCCTGTCTAAATTCAGGGCCTTCAGAGTCTCTGAAACCCTGTGACATCTCTACTTAGAAAAGACAAAGGTTATAAATAAACACTGTTCCCTTTCTCCCCAAATTTTAAGTCCCTAAAAGAATTTACCAGACATTATGTGAAAATTAAGATAAATTATTATGTTCTTGGTTTTTTTTTCTTTTAAACCAAAAATAATCAATGAAACAGAAAAGACTATGATCCACTCCACCCGCCCCCCCCAAACAGCCCAGGAAAAGGTTTTATGAAAAAGTCAGCTTTAGAATGCCAGGGCTCCTTGTGTATTTCAATCCAGGGTGTTGCTGATGGAGAAGATTCTCCTGAGATTTTCCTACTGTAAGAATGTGTCGGTTTCTAGAAATAAGTACAGCTATTACAACCAAATCTACTAGCAGTCTAAATAATTAATTGAAGTGTTGCTCTTTGACCCTTGAAAAGTCCAGTAGGGACACGTTTATAGTAATAATACCTCCGAATGAGCCCTTGTCAAATATTCATTTAGTGGTTAATGTGAGCCATTTTCCCCTGGGACGGTCTGTAATACCAGCTTCCCAGCATTGGCAAGAAACCTTGCTAATCTACTACAGCTCAGCAAAATATTTTAACGCTCTTTATTTAAAGTATGGGGGGGGCGGGTTCGGGAGAGAAAAAAATTGCAGAGAGAACAAACTATAATCTCATCCTTTTGCACATTTCTATTCTGTGTATAAGGTTAACAAAACATTTAAATTCACTCCCTTTGACTGGAAATTGCGTGGTTTCATTGAGCAGAATAATATCCCGAGGAAACAACTAAACACTCAACAACTATCTTCAGCACCATAAGATAACCACCTCTGGGCAAGTTTGTGGATTTACTCCCCTTCTTGAAAATCATATTATTATTTTTTGGTTAGTCAAATGTATTAAAATATTATATGTTTAATATTAATCTAGCCACAAAATTACATATTTTGGGGACCTATTTAACCCAATCAAATGAATGCTGCCTTGTAATATGCATCATTTTCCTCAGATGCAGCTTATCAAAAGCATTTATATTTGCAAACAAAATAATTTGGCTTCTATTTCCAACTATTTAGTTTAGAGACATGGAGGGATGGGAGGGGGCGACGGTTTCCCTTGCTTTATGCAGACAGTGACAATTACTCACAGCTAGTTCAACTTCCCAAAATATTGTGTTCTCTTTCCTCTTGCAAAATATTTGAACCTGAGCATTTTGCAAAGGTTACTTTTTAGTCTGATTCTGTGGGTTCTTTTTTTTTTTTTTTTAAATGGGAGGTTAGTGCAGTGCGATTACTCTAAATCCCTATACATATTTCTAATATATCTCTATTTTTCAAATATATACATTCTATAATAGCTGATTGACTCAAATTCCGGGAATATCCTCCTCACTCCCCCAGCATAATCATTTGGATCTTTATTCAAAGTTTCTTTTATTCGTATGTGTGAGCAAGAACTGGCGAATGTGCTCATTACCACGTGAATAATCCGTATATGCATTACAATGGCTGGCCAGGCCAGGGGAAATTCTTTTAGAGTCTCTGCATTAATTAAGGGGGAAAATGCCTCGCTTAGAATTGGTAACTGGAATAATAATTGTCCATTCCCAGTATAATGTTACCCTAAAGATAAGGATAAAAAAGTAATAAATAATAAAAACCAATACATACCTAAAATAAAGCAATCCAGAAGAAATGAAAAGTACAAGAATATGAGATATCCAGTTCAGCCCAGAACTAACATTAGCAACACCATGAGAAAGAAATACTTTCTTGGAAAGGAGAAGATGGAAACCAAAAGGATGAACTAACTTAGTGGCTGCAGCGGGTACTTTACTCAAGGGCGGAAGGCGCTGCCGGAATTCCAACTTCTCCAAAGTTGTAGCAAGTTGATACCACAAGCTCTTGAAATTGGGTAGCAAACCCGTACTCTCAAGAATGCCCGACTCTTGGTTCCTGGTCCCCTTGGGTAGGGGAAGATGAGCGAAGCAAGTAGTAAATAAAGAAGAAAAGTCCCTGACTAAGTCACAGGTTCTCCGGCTGCCCCAAAGCGCGGGGCGGTTGTGATGCAGAAGCATCGCTAATTCAAAGACCAAGGCGATTCCCCAACTTTTCCGCTCCCACTGAGGACAACTATAGCCTTTCTTTACCTTTCCTAGGGCAAAAGAAAACAACAAATCCAATCTTGTTTCCCCACCCCTTTCCCCTCCCCCCACTTCTCTACTACTGTAGTAAAACATTGTTAACAGATCAAAAGCATAATCATCTCCAAATGTGATTAGACCGGACAAAGTAAAATATCTACCTCAGAGTTGATTGTTTTCTTCTTTAATATGGCTGTTGCCTGGCTTCTGTTTTGCTTGTTATCAGCTGCAGAGATTATCCGATTTGGGGCTACAGGCTTGGACCCGCGCTGCCAATTTAAGAAATGGAATTCGGGGAGGGAGGGAGAGAGAGGGAAAAAAGAAAATAAATAATAAAAAAAAAAACTATGTCCGTGATAAGTCGGGGAGTTTTGCAAGACGTTCTTTGCTTTCCCTTGCCCCTAAACAGGAAAATGTAGAGGAGAAAGTTTATGAAGTCAAGGAACAAAGAAAGCAAACCACTTGTTTCCTCTCAGACAATAGCAGGGCCAGAGTAATCCAAACACCCACCCAGCAGATGAACACTTTGCATGTCTAGTTTGCAATTATTCTGATACAAGAAGCATCATTTTCCCCTATAACCAGGTTTCAAAGGACCATTGTGCTGTGAAGAAAATGCAAACAAAACCAGCCATCCTGGTTCTGATTTGGCTCAATACCCCATCTGCTAACTACATGAAAAATTTCAGAATTGAATCCTTTCTGGCAACAAGTGGCATAAATCAGTTTAAGTCCCCATCCTGCTTATTCATGCTGCCTAGAAAAAGAGGGGGTGGATTTACAATATATGTATCTAGTTTCTATTTTAGAAATGACAGAAGCATTTCAATTTTTCCAGGGTACTTATTAATATCATCCAGCCATTTCTTTTTTGTAGTTAATGTTAGCACATGACGCTGGACTAGTAATACCGAGGTTTTTGGTATTTTGCTTTCTTGGCTGAGCACAGTATTATAATTCCATGGGAAGTTATGTACAATCACAGTGTTATCCGAATAAATGAAAGACTCAAGCATAATTTCAGTGTCCATATTTCAAAAATTTATTTATCTCAAACTGTGCATAATGGAGTAAAAACTTAAGTTGAAAATGTACCTGTTATAAGGATGATATTAGTTCAAATATATACATGGATTCTCGGCAGACTGATTCAAATAATACAGAGCCGAATCTTTTAAAATACAACTACGGAAAATAAGGGAGGGAAACCTTAAAATATCACAATAAATTTACAGAAATATTACAAACCATAAGAAAATATTTCAAACACAGTAATTTCATGTTGTTTTTTTATCTGAACAAAATGGGAAGTTGGGATTGAACAAAAGCTATTATAAATTACCAACGATGTCAACCTGCATGGCCATTTTTGCTTTTAACAGTAAGTTAAAAAATTTAGTACAATCTAAAACTTTTGCCCTTTTAAACAAGACCACAGAGATGGTTTGCCAGTACTTATTCTAATTTTTTCCTTTTGTACAATTTTAAACAATTAAAATGTCCAAATCTGAATAATTTTCTTCTTTCCACGTTTGCAACTGTCCCAAATTTCAGCTGCACAATCAAAATGCAGCAAGAAGCCTCTCCTTGAAAAATATTGGCAAATTCTCAGCTTATAAACAATGGACATTTTGATTGCCATGTTTATCTCGATAAATACTGTACAAAAGTTGCTTGCAAATATTAAAACATTTTTTTCGTCGCTTGGAGACTAGCTCTAAATATTATTGGTAAAGACTTTTGCAAACTTCCTGCAAAGCTCCTACCGTACCACTAGAACTTTTAAAAAGTTTTGCGTAGCTTTCTTTCCTCCAGATCTATACAAGGTCCATTCCCCCTCCCTCCCCAACCCACCCCCGGTTTACTCTGTACAAAAATAGTCCCCCAAAAAGAAGTCCAGGATCTCTCTCATAAAAGTTTTCTTGTCGGCATGGCGGGTTTTGCGTGACTGTGGATGGGATTGGTGTTCTCTTTTGCAGCTGTCATTTGCTGTGGGTGATGGGCTTTTTTTTGTTTTTTGTTGTTTTTGTTTTGTTTTTTTAGCGCACCGGGTTTTTCTCCATGCTGTTTCTTATTCTCCTTGTTTGCACCCCTCCCATTTCCCTCGTTTTTCTTTGAGAATTTCTCCCTCCTCCAGTTCGCTGTCCGTCCCTCACATGTGCGAGAGGGGCAGTGTGCCGTTAATGGCCGTGCCCGGCACCGGGCCGCTCTGGTAGTGCTGAGACATGTGAAGTCTGCTGGGGGCGGCGGGTTCCGGCACCTCGGCGCCGGGGAGGTACATGCTGATCATGTCCCGGAGGTCCCCGGCCTGGCAGGGCGCCCTGGAGTGGGAGGAAGAGGTAACCACAGGGGGGCTGGAGCTGGCCTCGGACTTGACCACCGAACCCATGGAGCCAAGAGCCATGCCAGGGGTGCCCTGCTGCGAGTAGGACATGCTGTAGGTGGGCGAGCCGTTCATGTAGGTCTGCGAGCTGGTCATGGAGTTGTACTGCAGGGCACTCACGTCGTAGCGGTGCATGGGCTGCATCTGCGCGGCGCCGTGCGCGTTGAGGCCCGGGTGCTGCGGATAGCCCAGCTGGTCCTGCATCATGCTGTAGCTGCCATTGCTCCAGCCGTTCATGTGCGCGTAACTGTCCATGCGCTGATTCACGCCCGCGCCCAGGCCGGCGCCCACCCCTACCCCGCTCGCCATGCTGTTGCCGCCGGGGGCAAGCAGCCCGCCGGGCAGCGTGTACTTATCCTTCTTCATGAGCGTCTTGGTTTTCCGCCGGGGCCGGTATTTATAATCCGGGTGCTCCTTCATGTGCAGCGCTCGCAGCCGCTTGGCCTCGTCGATGAACGGCCGCTTCTCCGTCTCCGACAAAAGTTTCCACTCGGCGCCCAGGCGCTTGCTGATCTCCGAGTTATGCATCTTGGGGTTCTCCTGGGCCATCTTGCGCCGCTGCCCGCGGGACCACACCATGAAGGCGTTCATGGGCCGCTTGACGCGGTCCGGGCTGTTCTTCTGGTTGCCGCCCGCCGCCGCCGCGGTGGAGTTGCCGCCGCCGCCGCCGCCGCCGCCCCCCGAAGTTTGCTGCGGGCCCGGCGGCTTCAGCTCCGTCTCCATCATGTTGTACATGCGGGCGCTGTGCGCGGGCCCGGCCCGCCGGCGGCCGCCGACCCTCGGCCCGGCCGGGACTTTGGGGGGCCCGCGGGCGGGGGGAGGAGGGGAGGCGGGCGGGGGTGTCGGGAGCGCAGGGCTCCGCGCGGAAAATGAGATGAAGAATAATTTGGGGAAAAAAAAGAGGCAAACTGGAATCAGGATCAAAAAAAGAGCTTCCCTCCTCCTCTGGCCGATCCTGCCGCCGCCGATGATTGTTATCGTAATTGTTTGGACAGGCTTAAGCCTGGGGCTCAAACTTCTCTCCCTTTCTTTCTCTCTCCTCTTCTTTCTCTCAGTCCTAGTCTTAAAGAGGCAGCAAACTACTTTCCCCCTTTTGCAAACACTCTCTTCTCTGCCTTGACAACTCCTGATACTTTTTTGAACAAGTTAATAGACAACCATCCATGTGACGGGGGCTGTCAGGGAATAAATGGGTTTCTAGCGACCAATCAGCGCGCGGCGGCTCCTCCACTCGAGCCCAGCCTCGCCGCTGGGTTTTGCATGAAAGGGGGCGGGGCCTAGCGCGCCGCCGGCGGAGGGGGAGGGGGAGGGCGAGGAGGGGGAGGCGGCTCCCAGAGCCAGCCTGCCAGCCACTGAGAAACCTTTGTATCCCCTCTCGCAGCAACAGGTCACACCACACGCCTTTTCGAAGGAAGTGGGTAAACAGCACTAAGACTACGTGTTTTTTTTCCCCTTTAAACTTAATATTGATTTACTTTTTGGTGCAGGGTACTGAAATGAGGAAGGGGCGCGGGAAGCAGCTAAGGTGTAGGGGGTGGGGCAGGGCATGGTGGGTGGTTCAGGGCGACTGTCCAACTAGTATTTCTGGAAACGGGCAATGCAGGAGTTGGTGTGTCATTGTTCTCCCGCGCATCCGCAGCACTTCCCCCCAACTCCAGCCCGTCCTGTGCTTCTCCCTTAGCTCGCTCTTCCCCTTGCTCCCTTCCTTTACAGGTGCTAGCACTCACTGCTCACACCGGCCCGACGAGAAGATAGGAGGCCACATCTGTCCGCAAAACCCTTGCTTCCACGTAACTTGCTCTATTCTTGAAAATAAACCCTGGTCGGACCTTGCGGCCGACTCCAGGGCTGAGAACGGGCAGGGCCTTGGGAAACTGCCATTTCCTTGTCCTACTCAGCTCTTCAGCCCGGGGCATCACAGCTTGCCCTCTTACCCCCAGCCACATCTCCCACCGGTCTGTCTCCATTCAGTCGGTGCAAAGGGGATGCTGGTACTCTCTTTCCCTCTCCCCATTTTCCTCCTAAGCCTCCCCCCAAAAAGGATTTTAGCTGTGCAGGTTCAAATGCAGGCTGGGGAAGGAAAGAGAGAAACAGAAGGACGCTCAAAAGTGCAGGCCATGGGGGAGGATAGTTTCAACTTCCTGGCATCCCGTGGCACGGTACAGAGGTGGCTTTGGGGCTGCACTCACAAACTCCCTCCCACGCAGAGTTCCCAGGACCCAAGCAGAACCCTCCCCGGCATTTCCCCCTCTGACTTCTGCCGTGGTGGCCGCAGAGCCAGGCCGAGCAGGTCTGGGGCGCGCTGCAGAGGGGCTCTCGGCCTAGGAGGCGGGGGCGCTGCTCTCCAGGCACAGGTGCAGGCAGCGCACGCAGGGAGGAGGCCAGGACTTAGGAAGGGGGAGCCCAGCAAGGCCCAGGCTGGAGGAGGATGGGATGGGGCGGGGGTAGGGGGTCAGGAATCTTGCCTGCCCAGGACCCAAGAGGGTAATTTTAGCCGCTCTCCCATTGTCCCGACGTAAAGATTTCAATAGGTAGGCGCTCAATGCGGAGGGCAATGGCAGCACGTCCGTTACAAATAGGTAGTTTTGTTTCTCTTGTTGTCGCTACACGGAGTCAAACAAAGCCTCGTCTAAGTTTCCTTCCACTCTCTTGTTGGGATCTTTGTGGCTAAAATGTACTTGACTACAAAGGGGGGGGGGAGAAAGAAAAAAACCCTGATGCCATTTCTTTTTATAAAGGGCTTAAACCATCAGGGTTACTTATTTTCTTTCTTCTGTAACACTTTCTCCGCCCCCCTCCTCCCCTGATCTACCCTTACTCACCCTAAGAAAATGTACTGAATAGTATCTACCAGCCACGTTCCATTTATTATCTTTACAAAACTGTATTGTTTTGTTCCTTACTCTAACCTTTTTCTTCCCACAACTGCCCTTCCCTATTCCTCCTCCAACTTCTCCAATCTCTGCCCTCCAAGGCCTGTCTGTTATTGTCAAATTCAAGCTAAGTATGCTCACTGGAAACCCAGAAAAGTTGTGAAAAAAGAATCCTGCAGACTTTTCTTAATAAATTATTATTTCCAGTCAACCGTCCTGCCCGCCCCCGACAAGGTTCTCCTTTTCCTCTTAAGTTATGGTTTGCTTTAGTTCTTGGGCACCCAGAAAGGGTGAGACTGGCCTTCTCAAAATGCATAAATATTCGGTACTCTTCAAAATAAAGCAATGCTTTATGTCTAATCGAGGTGTAATATTAAGCTAAACACAGACCTGAAGATTAAGAAAGAGAAAAGGTTGACAATCTGGAGAAGAGAAGGCGGCCACCGGCTTTTCAGCGCGGCTGGTTTCAGGGATGTGGCTGGTGCGCCCCCTGCTGGTAGATTCCCTTTTCCAAGACTATTATCTTTAAAAGTAGGTGTTCGGAAATAAAGGAAAAAAATGAGGGGGATGGAAGATCAAATTAATTACTAATAATCTAAAGAAAAGAAAAGTTAACATATCATATAAGCTGTGTAACTAAATCATAAGAATCAGATTTAATTTCCTTAACTTAAAAATATACATACAATTTCAAGTGAGACGTTAAATCACAGGAAAAAATAAGTACAAATTATGAGATTCAACATATGAATGAATTATTATTGTCCAGACGCCATGAAGAGCAGACCAAGCATTCACTTTATGATTGCCTATGCACTGGTCTACTTAATAGCATTATTGCAAGAACTTTAAAAAGCTTATGATAATTAAGTTTGAAGAAACAACCAAAGGGTTGCTGTGGAAAATGGTGATGTATATTTATTAAAATAATTATTAATAACGGATGATTATAGACCCAAATCTTTTAAGTCTCGCTGTCTTTCTCTCAAGGCACAATTTTTTTCCTTGGGATGATATATAACAGCTTTTACACATTCTCTGATGCATGTGTTTTTGCCTGAACTCTATAATAATGCATTTAAGAGGTTAAAGGGGCTGGCTAGGTCTTTTATTAATTGGTTTTATCACATAAATAAGCCATGGAAATACATTACAATTGTGTTATCATTGGTTGCATTTATTTACAGCTTTATTTTAATTAAGCCTGCTGTACTTATCGAGGCAATAAACTAACTGTGGCTGGCATTTATGCATAGTAATGTGCTATGAAAATAAGATTAAAGAAGATGGTGATAGCAGAAACAATTTTCTCATTAGATTTTAAAGAACATATGCATTAAAAAAAATCAGATCACTGCCCACTCGATTTCAGTCTGGCACCATCACTGGCCTCTAAATATAATAATAACTATAACAATCTCAGAAGATGACAGAAGCAACACTGTTTTAGGTTTATAATAGATGGCTACAATACTAACAACAATATACCATTGACTACTAGACAATCAAAAAAAAAAAAAAAGACTTGGAACAGGATGCTTCATCCTCTCAGAATTTAAAACGTTGCCATTGGCACAATTTATGAAAATTGAAAGTACTTAATCTAAAGAGAGTGTAACACTTCCCTCCCGTGAGCAGCAAAAAGCTATATACACTTTTACAGCAAGATTAGTAATTAGGAAGAAAAATGTATAACTCCTGGGACATTTTGATTTGATTTTGTTCTACTATAGGCCCTAGCCAAAAAGCCTTAACTGCTAAGTGTGACTAAATTTTATTTAAAAATCTTTTGCGTTGATTTTTCTCTCCTAAACTTCCCCCGTACCTCCTCAAGCATTATATCTGAAGCCAACTGACAATTTTGTGGAGATAGGGGACTGTAGACTTATTTTTTCTTCTTAGTGGCAAATAGAGGTTTAACTTGCAGTAATTAGGTGAGAACTAGCCAAGCATCTTACTATTATGATGCTTGTTAAAAAACGCTTCTTTTCTGCATCTGCATTTGAGTGTGTTCCCCTCCTCTCTTAATCTTCTTATGGAAATGAAGGCAAACGGCAGGGAACCTGCAGAGTCTTGGAGAATGTCCTTGTTAACTGGAATTTCTCAGCATTGCTAATTAGCAGAGTTTGACGACCACCAGTATTGGGAAAAAGCTCTGTTTAACCACTCACAAACCATTCCGAGGAAGAGCAGACTAATTTTATTTTGTAATTAAAATCTGAAAAGGGCCCTATTTGACAGTTAGGGCTATGAGAGTTTTATCTCCCCGTGAAATAATTACTGCCTTGATAACTCAATTTTCTGAAAAATGTCAACTGTGGGCTCCAAAAGTTTTAATTTCATTACGTAAGGAAAAAGATGCAAGAAAAATAGAAGAAAATGTACAGAAAGGCTTTCTAACTCTGGAACTGGTTAAATATATTAGGAGCCAGATTTGGCCAAATGACAGTCTTTTTCCTCCCTTTTTTGTAATGTTTCCTCTAGATCCTAACCTTCCAACTATCTCCTCTCCAAGTGACCATGGCAGTGATCATACTGCAGTGAAAGAGATCATACCAATGGTCTGGTAAGTAAGAAGCAAATAAAACTAAAAAGGGAAGTACAGCAACCAGAGAAAAGTTCCTAGTTTTGTTCCAAAAATAAAGGAAAATTCAAATGTTTAGGACAATGCTACTGTGCTTTGGTGAGATGAGATTTTATTTATAGGTATCCCTTAATACAAGAAAACTGAGAATTATGGAGTAAAGAGACTGGCATAAGCCAATTTTTAAAATGTTTTCTTTTCTTCTGTAAATCACAAAAGATCTCAGTCACTCCAAAGTAGAACATACCACAAGACTTCCAGAATGATCAAAGCTGGATTCTTCAAGATTTAAGAAACAAACACAGATTAATGAAGGAAAAGATACATTTCTTTTCCTTAAAAAAGTCTCCCATACTTTCCAAAAATAGTCAATAAGAAATATGCTGGATAAAGTTAGGATATGGAAACTAAGAGCAAAAAATTGAAACTGAATTGTACTGTTGTCAAACTTCATTTCTAAGTACACTTTACAGAAATTCCTAGAGGGGACAGACACCTTAATTTTTATAATGCCATTTTCAAAATGATAGAAATTCTTTCATCTACATTTTCTCCATTTTTTTCCTATGTCAAACTTTCAGGTATTGGAAATGTGAGGGATTAGTGACAGGAACTATAATGAATGTTTCTAGATGACACAAAGGAAAAATATGTATCTCTATCCCTTTCTATTTACTAAGATATAGATATGCATATGGAT